CCCCGCACCCCCCAGTCCGCAGACCCGGAACGCCCACACACCTCTCTCTGGGGGCCTCCTAGTGCTCCCACCCGCCCCCCACCCCGTTGCCTTTGCACCTTGCCTAAATCCAAAATTCTTACGTTCCTTCCCTTAAGCCATCATACACATTTCAGTCCTTCTGAGGGGCTGTACCTCCTGTCCCTGTCCCCAGTCCATACCTACCCAGATCAGTGCCTCCTCCCAGCATCCTCCGTGGGTTATCTGATGATGTGTCCCCCATATCTTACAGAAAAAGAGACGGAGATAGGACAAGCCCCAAGCCTGCGCCCTGTAGTTCTTAGCGTCTCACCCCACTCCCCGCAGGCAGCTTCAGCTCCCGTGCTTTCCCAGGCACCTGTGCACGCTTCCTTGAGCCTGCTCCTCCTCCCAGAGAACAAGGCAGGCGCGAGGGCGGGGGTCCTTTTACCTGGGAGTTGTGCAAGGGTGCAGAGGACTGGGGTCTCTGTGGAATACTTTTCCAGAGCAAGAGGTGGAATTTTTTAAGGGTCTCCAGAGCCCCTTTCTGTTTTGCTCTTAAATGTTGGCACATTGTTAATGATTATGTTGAAATTGGGCCTCTCTGAGGTTGGGGAACAGTTTGTCCAGCTTCCAAATGTAAGATTGAAAGAGCCAGTCCTGGAAGAGGAAACTGCCTTTTTTGTGTGTGCCGTTGGTCTTACGAACCTAACTCTAGAAGTTGCTTCAGCTAGTAGCCCCCACGGTTTACAGATGTTTCCCCTAACAACTAAGGGGTGGGAATCAGGAGTGGCATGGGAGGGGCTGACTTGCTGGAGTCTCCTAGATACTAAGGAGCAACAAAATGGAGTAGAATATGGGTGTCCTGAATTTTCGGCCAGTTCTCTTTCCAGTGCATTCCAGTACCTTTGTTAAAAAAATTTTTTTCTAACTAAAATTGGGGACAGTGGTGTCTTATTGGCCAGGTAGCTACTTGAGGGGGATGAAGCTCCAAGAGTGGGAGGCCCTGAAGCCAGACCAGCCATGTTTCACAGGCTTGTGGGTAATGGAGAACTCGCCCAGGTAGTGGCCGATCAGCTCAGATCAACTCAGGCTTGATCTCCACTTGGCTGAAGGTCTTGCCATTGTAGACGCCCACCTTGCTGCCTATGGGGCAGGATGATCGTGTCGGAAGTTGTGTCTTCACTTCTGGCTTCTCCATGGGCGGCGCCTCCTTGTTGGCCTTGCGCAGGCGCCTCAGCACTTCCGCGCAGGCCGCTGGCGCTGCGCACGGTAGAGCTGCAACAGCTTTCCATAGGGCTTGTCCAGCGGCTGGTCGAGGTCCACACTGCCATAGGTAAACTTGCCAAAGGTTCGCTGCTGCTTCTGCTCCACTTCCGCCATCTTGCCAGCTCTTTGGAAAAGTCCAGTGTCCTTTTGAGAAAGCTCCTTGTAGAGTTAAAATTCTCAGCAAAGGTAGGGTGGTGCTTTGGGTGTGTTGCTTGTACCAGGACTCATACAGGATCTAAAGGTGACTTGGTAGATCTTGTGCTCTTGTAGACTTCAAACTCATTGATGCTGAGGAGCCCCCGACCCCCAGCCCTGTGAGGCTTGGAATCAGTGGTCCCTTCGCCCAGGATCTTGCTTTCTACCTCGATGAACAGATGGCTGGGGGAGAGGGGGTGCTGCCAGCAGATCAGTTTCACTAACAGTTGGGGTGGCCAGGTTTCCATTAATCTGTGGTCTCTGTTTCCTGTGCTAGGTGAGCCCCAGGTGTGTCCCAAAGGGATCCAGGTGACTTCTCTGCAGACTGTTTGCCATGACGCCCCACCAAGGACGGGGGGAATAAAGGGGCGCCCTTCTCCATGCCCCTCCCCTGGTCAGGTCCCCGATGGCCTGGGTGAGGTAAGAACTGTACATTGGCATCAGTTTTCTGAAGTTTCTCATGTTGAGAGGAATGGAGGGTAGGGGTTGCTGGATTGCTCAAGGCTCCCCACATTCAGAAATGTTAGATAGCTAATCCCACTGATTCATTTTGCAGCAAGTTAATCCCTTAAAACTTTTTTTTTTTTTTTTTTTTTTTTTTTTTTTTTTTTTTTTTTGTACTGGGGATCAAACTTGGGACCTTGGGCTTGCAAGGAGGTTGCAGAACCACTGAGCTAATTCGGCTGCCCTCCCTTAAAACTTTTAATTAGAACTGGTCCATGTGTTTTTTTTTTGTTTGTTTTTTTTTTATTGGGGGTGTGTACAGCAGGGTCTCTATGCGGCTAGGCCAGCCACATACTTGCAATCCTCCTGCCTCAGCCTCCTGAGTGCTGAGACAGCAGACAGACACCACCACACTGGGCTGTGTCCATGTGTTTCTCTTTCCTTTCAGTTACTCAAGCCTGGATGGTGTCCTGTCCATCCTGGGCACAGGCCTAATCGTTGTGACATAATCTAAGTGCCACAATCTAGAAGGAAGAGTAAAATAGGCCTGCAGTCTCCCGTTTGGTCAGTGGGGAGCAAAGCCAGCATTTTGTTTTTGTTTTGAGACAAGATCTCACCATGTAGTCCACACTGGGCTGGAACTCTGTTGCCTCCACCTACTGAGTGCTTGGATTACAGGCCCATGTCACCAGGCCCAGCACATTCAGCTTGTTTTTGTTTTGTGGTGCTGGAGATCAAACCTGGAGCCTCATGCCTACAAGGTGCATACACTATTCCTGAGCTGTACCTCAGTCCCAAACTTTTTTTTTTCAAAGAAGAAATAATCATGGTTACAAAATTGTGCTGTTTTAAGTGTTTAGTCTTTTGAGTGTGTCTTTATGATCATAATGTACCAATACATGTGAAGGAGACATCAGAAAGAAATTGAAGGTAGATGTTGGGATGTTGGTAAAGGAAAAGAGAAAGCTGGGTCGAGGGGGTAATGGATAAAGGTATAAAATGGGGGCAGAGGGAGGGGACAGGCCAGAATATCTGGGACTCGCAGGTGACACTGTCTTAGCTGAATCCCAGTGAGGGCTTGGTCACTTCTGGGTTCCTCTCCCTCCTGCTCCATTCTGTGGGTCAGAATCCTGCTTACTTTCCAAGGTCCAGATTGGTGCTTCCGGGAAGACCTCTCCATCCCCCTTACATAAATACTCAGCGCCGTCCAGCTTGAATTAATGTTTAGCCAAAGTGTCTGCCTTGGATTGAGGGTGAATTCCTTGACGGAGCATCCAAGTCAGTCTTCCAGCCTGCTGGACAGTCAGCAGGACCTCTTGGAGCCACACTGGTGACCTGCTTGTCCCGTTTCGCCCTAGGGTGTGCTGGCTGCTCTGACACCATGGGGAGCTGCTGTGGCTGCCTGAACAGAGACAGCGTCCCAGACAACCACCCCACCAAGTTCAAGGTACCTGGAGCCACCTCCTGTGTCTTCTCTGTAGTTTCAGGGCACGGCCCTGAGCCCTCAAGTGCCATAGCTTCTGTGGGGATGGTGGCCGTTTGGGCTGAGGTTGGGGTGTAGGAAGGTGGCTGGGACAAAGAAAGGCCTAAGCCTCTGCCACTTTTTACTTCTCTTGGTGGCACCAAAATAAAAATGCTGTACTGCAGGAGCAGAATGGTGCTTTTAGAATGTTCATTCCTTCCAGTGTATTTGTCACTACGTATACACCTTTTTTTGGGGAAAAAGAACAAACGTATGTATTCGTGAGTTAAAATGCACTAGGTAGTTTCACTGGTGCTTAGTGCCTGGTAAGCCCTGTATGTGTGGTTTGCCATGGGAAGCTGAGGCTGGGCCTATCCTATAGGGGGCGCCACCTCCCCACTCTGGGAGTGTGGAGTTGCACTGGTCCTGCCCACCAGAAGAGGGGGGCCCTCAGGAGCTCACTCTTGTGGAAGGTCTCAGAGTACGTATTGGTTCTGACTTTCCCCAGGGTTTCCTTTTTTTTTTTGGTACCGGGAATCGAACTTGGGGCCTTGGGTTTACAGTTTTGACTTGTTTTAGAGGGGGAAGGAAAGGGCACTGAAAATTAAACCTAGTGCCTTTGCACTGAGCCTATCCCCAGCCCTTTTGGATTTTTTAAATTTTTGAGACAGGGTATTGCTAAATCACTTAAGTTAAGCGGGCTCATCCTTCAGCTTTCCAGTGTGCTGGGTTTACAGGCGTGTGCCACCATGCCCAGCTAATTTTTTAAAGTTTTGAGACAAGGTCTTACTAAATCCTTACTAAATCACTAAGTTATCAGGGCTGGGCTGGGACTTGTAATCCTCCTGCCTCAGCCTCCCAGAGTGCTGGGATTATAGGCTTGTGCCAGCAGGCCCAGCAACATTTTGAATTTACAGTTGATCCTCTTCTTCATTCACATCTGGTCCTTGGATACTAAGCTATGGGCTGGTCTAAGTCACTCAATATTGGTCATCTCATCACCGGCCTTGGAGGGCAACTACTTACCTCTTCCCTCTGATGATGACACTGAGGCCTAAGAGGTGGATTTGTCCTGAGAACTCGGTGGGTCCGGCCCTGCTCCGCACATCCATGCTCGAGTGGCAGGGTTCGTGGTGTTTGGGGTGGGCATATGAGAGTGTCAGCCTCCAGCCCGGTCCTGTGTGGACCTGCCTTCCGGGACTCGGGACTCACTGTGAGCCCTGTCCCCCCAGGTGACGAACGTGGATGACGAGGGGGTGGAGCTGGGCATGGGGGTGATGGAGCTGACCCAGAGTGAGCTGGTGCTGCATCTGCAGCGGCGTGAGGCCGTGCGCTGGCCCTACCTCTGCCTGCGGCGCTATGGCTACGACTCCAACCTCTTCTCCTTTGAGAGCGGCCGCCGCTGCCAGACTGGCCAGGGTGAGTGTGCCGGGCAGCTGGCCGGCCTGGGCTGGGAGGTGCGGTGCCGGTACTGGCTGGCAGGCTGGGAAGTTTGTTGTGGCGTCCACAGTGGGCTCTGCGCCCGGTCCTGGACAAGTCAGGCGTGGCCCAGGGCAGGGCAGGGTTTGGCTGGGGTCACACGGCCTGTCGGTGCAGGACTCTGTGGTCTCCTGGCCAGGAATCTTTGTCCCTTCACTCACAGAGGCTCTGGCCTGGGTCCCTGTGTTGCGCAGCCTGATGGGACCAAGTTGCCACTCGTAGGCCAGGCCTTGCTGCAACAGCAAATGACTCTCACCCTGCTGGCCCAGCTCCAGAGGTTCTTGTTGTCCTGCAGTTGGGACATGCTTTTCTGAGCCTCCGGGCCTGTAAATAAGAAGGGAGACGGCAGGCGGGGGACACTGGCAAGAGAGCAGGACACCGGCATCTCTGTGGGCAGGTGAACCCCCAGGAGTTCAGCTTCACCGTCACCTCAGGAATGTAGTGCAGTGCAGTCCCTTCCTTCCCTCCGCGTGGCCAGAGATGGGGCGGGGACTGTTCCGTGGGGTCAGGGCTCCAGCTGCCACTGCTCTGACCTTGCCTGAGAGGGCGCTGGCTGTGGGCAGGGACTGTCACTGCAAAACAGTCCCAGGGGTCGAGTTGCCCCTCTCTGTGCTTGTCCCCGGGGGCTTGTGAGAAGAGGCGGTGACGCTGACTGAGAGGGTGGAGCAGAGGCCACCTTGCCCCAGGGAAGTTGCATCTGTATCTGGTGCCCCAGGCCCTGGCACAGGCTCCATCTAAAACTCAGGCTGCCTGTGTCCTCTAGGTCTGCCTGTCCCTTGAGAACAGCGCTTCTGCTTCCACTCTGTTCTCCCCATCCCGTCCTGCAGACCAGAGTTGTCCAGTACCCGCGTGCGACGGTGTTGTTTAATAATGTACCCCCGGCCGGATGCACTGTCTCGGTTGTGTGTCCGTGCATACACACTCTCCAGGTGGCCTCCCCCAAACCTCAGGTCCCTCATGGCAGAATGGCAGGTGGCCCGATGCCAGGGACATCTTAGGATCCCAAGTCCGATGCGCTCCAGCCGAGTCCTGCGGCTCCCAGGACACTGAGTGGCTGAGTTGGAGATGGAAGGGCTGTGAAGCCAGCTGCACCAGGGCCCGTGGCTGCCCTGCCAGATGGACCTTGAGCTGTGCCATCCTTCTTCCTGCCCCCGAGTTCGAGCTCCCTGAGGCAGGGACCTGTGCACAGGAGGCCTTCACTTCACAGCCAGGCACTGGGGCAGCCGTGAGCAGCACAGAAACTCCTGCTGTGGCTGCACTGCTGGGCAGATGTGTTGGGCCAACGGCTGAGGACTGGCAGGGCTTGTTTTTCTAGGGAGCAAGGGTGGCCGGCAGGGGGCGATGGGGCAGCTCGTGTGGTGACACATTCATCTCACCACTGTCGTGTCCACGTGTGGGGTGCAGCTGCAGGGCTGTCTCGGGACCAGGCTCATAGATGCGGTCAGTTGGGCTAGGGTGCAGCTGAGGGCTAGAGCCCTTGCCTGCCATGTACACGGCCTTGGGTTCCTCCCAGCACCCCCCAGAATGCCAGAGATTGTGGCTGTGGGGACAGCTCCTGGGGCCCAGCCACTTGGCTAGCTCAGGGATTCTGGAGCCTCTGGGAGGCTGTGTGGCCAGGGCTGCAGCTTGGTGACATCTCCCTCACATGTGCACCTGTCCAGCTCCTCGGCAGTCCCCGCGGGCCTGGCACCAGGACACCCATCTCCTCCTCTGCCTCTCCAGGGATCTTTGCATTCAAGTGCTCCAGGGCCGAGGAAATCTTCAGCCTCCTTCAGGATCTGATGCAGTGCAACAGCATCAACGTGACGGAAGAGCCAGTCATCGTCACCCGCAGTAGCCACCCCGCCGAGATCGACCTCCCAAGGACCCCCCAGCAGCCCAGTGGTAAGGAGCGAGAGCACAGGTGCAGACCCTGGAGGCACCATCGAGCGGGATGGGGAGGGGAGTGGGGAGCCAGCTTTCTGGGACATTAGTTCGGGACAGTCGCCCATCATCAGAGCCACCCCTGAGGGTGGCCAGGGCCTACGCTGGGCCAGTCAGGTGACTTGGCTGAGGATGTGGCATTCTGGGCTGTGGAGCAACTCTTGGCCAGGAGCAGGTGGGAAGATGATAGGTTTCCATGGAAACAACGGTCTGGAGCTTCCTGCTTCCTTCCTTCTTTGTGCCGGGTCACACACATCTCTCCGGGAGCTGATTCTGTCATCTGTGGCTGAGGCCCTGCCACAGGAGAGCTACAGCTGCTGGCCAAGTGGTGCCGCTGCTCCCCGCTCCCTGACCCAGCCCTTCAGGGACAGAGGATAGGAGCACAGGGCTCGCCCCCGCCGGTAGTACAGGGTGTCCAGAGTGCCGCAGGTGGCTCAGGGAAGGCTCAGGCCTAGCTCAGAGGGCAGGGAGAGGTGGGGAGGGGCAGTGGGCGGAGTCCCCGGGCCCACTCCCTTGAGGTTGCCAGTGACTCAAGTGCCTTAAACATCCCTCACCCGGCCTGTGTTCCGGCCCAGCTCTAGGCTGCGCTGTTTCTGGCTTCTCCAACGGCTGCCCCGGCTGCCCTGGAGAGGCCCCGCAATTCAGCACTCCCCGGCAGCCGTCCTCCAGCAGCCTTCAACAGCCCTCGCTCGGGGAGGAGTCCACACACGCCCTCATTGCCCCAGACGAGCAGGTGAGTGAGCAGGTGAGCGGCAGCCAGCCCTGCCAGTGTCTGGGTGGGGATGGGGTTTGGAACATGGCCACCTCCTCCCGGGAAGGGGACAAGAAGGGAGGCTGTGTCCCAGGAAGATTTGGAGGCTGCGGGAGGAGGGGAAAGTGGGCCTTTCCCCTGAGCCTCCATCTTCCCTCTGTCTCTCCTGCCCTTCCTTCCTCCGGGCCCTACCACCGGCGGACCATCCTGCAGTCGCACACCTACGTAAACACTCCGGCCGGTGAAGATGACCACCGCAGGAGCCGGCACTGCCTGCAGCCACTGCCCGAGGGCCGGGTGCCCTTCCCCACACAGGCCCGGGAGGCCGGCACTAGGGACCCACAGATCTTCCTGCAGCCCGGCCAGGTGAAGTTCGTGCTGGGACCCACACCCACCCGGCGGCACGTGCTCAAGTGCCAGAGCCTCTGTCCCAGCCTGCAGGACGTGCCCCACCACCACAACAACAACGAGGGTCCCTCTGAGTGCCCCTCACAGCCCAAGTGCACCTATGAGAATGTGGGTGGGGGTCTGCGGTGCGGCCCTGGCTGGAGACTGAGTCCCGAGGAGCCGGGCTGGGGTGGCCTGGCCCAGCGCCGCGCCGCACTGCTGCACTACGAGAACCTGCCCCCACTGCCCCCAGTGTGGGAGAGCCACGGCCAGCCACATTCCGGGGAGCCCGGGGATGATGGCGACTCTCGGGATGGCCTCACCCCCTCCTCCAACGGCTTTCCTGAAGGCGACGGCGAGGAGGACGAGACCCCGCTGCAGAAGCCCACCAGCTCCCGGGCCACTGCCCGCAGCCATGGTGGCTTCCCCGTGCCACTGACCCGCCGCCGTGGCTCCCCGAGGGTCTTCAGCTTTGACTTCCGCCGCCCGGGCCCTGAGCCCCCTCGGCAGCTCAATTACATCCAGGTGGAGCTCAAGGGCTGGGGCGGGGAGCGGTCCAAGGACCCCGCTGCGCCCCGGGCCTCGGCGCCTAGCTCAGACTCCTATGCCGTGATCGACCTTAAGAAGACTGCGGCCATGTCCAGTCTGCAGCGGGCCCTGCCCCGAGATGACGGCACTGCCCGGAAGACCCGGCACAACAGCACCGACCTGCCTCTCTAGGTGCCCCCTCGCCGGCCGTCCTCTGTCCCTCTCTCCCACCGCCAGGGCCGCTCGGGGCTGGAAGCTTCCCTGCACCGCTGGGATCCCTGCCAGTGTCACCCGAGGCTCCTGGTTCCCAAGCTGGGAAGGGGGAGAGGGTGGCTGGGCAAGGAGGGAGCTGCAGCACCAACTGTGAAGGGTCCTTGTGATTGCATTTCCCGCCGTCCCCACGTCCATTCGTCTTGTCGGCCCATCTGTCTGTCCATTTGTGTGTGTTTTTTTTTGGTTGGAATTTTGAAACATTTTGTACCTGTTGGTTTTATTTATCAGTTTATTTTTCTATTTATTGTTTTAAATGTAATTTAACATATTTATTATTAATATAATTATTTTTAAATTCTGGCTCAGTGGAGTCATCCTGTGGCATTTTCTCTGGCATTGGGCAAATCTGGGAGAGGCTGGAGTCCAGGTGGCTGTGGCTTTTGTGACAAGTCTGTGATCATTTCTTCCTGTCCTCCAAGAAGCCCTGGTCCAGAACGTACGTACCCTGCTGACGTAAAGTGACAGGACAGCCATAGCCCGGGGCAGAGAGAAGACTGGAGGGAGAGTGTCCCCAGGACTGTCCTCCAAGACCCTGGCTCAGAGGTGGCCATGGAGTGTCCTTAACCAGCTCAGCATGGCTGTGTCCTGGCAGCCCGTTAACGGAACTCGAGGGAACTCTGTAATGTGTCACCTTGCCGCCCAGCTCGCACAGTGGAGCTTTCCCAGAGCATGGTGGTAGGGCCTCCCGTGCCCCGCACCCCACCCAGCGCCCCTCTCTGCAGCAGCCTCTTCTCTCCTCAGCTGCTCTCTGCTTCCTTGCTGCAGTCCGTCTGGCCTCCGAGATGCCGTGGCCGTCGAAGCTGTGAGGTTAATCTAGGAGGATTCATTGACAGGAGTGAGGCCAGGGTGTGTCCTGACTTGGGGATAGGCCTTGTCTCTGGCCCGTTTGTGCCCCGCTCCTGCTCTGTCCTGTTCCTCCCCAAGGCAGGGCCAGACACCCTGCCCGCGTGTGGGTGGCTCTTTCCGTGTTGTTGGGGAGGAGTGGTCTCAGCAGGACTGTGAGGCCTTCCTGTGGGGTCCAACAGGGTGCATGGGGGCTGCAGCCACCACCCCAGAGCTGGCACAGGCTCTTCTGCCCTTGTCATTCCTTTGTTCCCGGAGCTGGCGGATCCCTCACTGGGAGAACTCACGGTGCCTGTCCCACGTCCTGACGTCGGGCAGTGGTGGCCTCCACAGCTTCCCGATCCTCTGACACACCTGCTCCTCCCCATGGCCTGCGTGATCCCAGCGGGCAGGGCAACTGCAGGCAAGTGTGGCCACGCCAGGCCCAAGCTCCTCCTCGCTGAGGGACAGTGCCGGCCGTGGCCAGCCCTGGACTGGTGGAAGTCCGAGACAGGCCCTAGCCGATGCCTCAGTCTTGCTGTCTTTCCCCAGAGGGCCTTGGAGTCAGCACTTGGAAGTGCGATGTCACACTGAGCAGGACAGGAGCGCAGACAGACTTGTCCAGCTCTCCGCACTCGGGCCCCAGGCCTCGGGCTTCGAAGGCATCACCCTGTGCTCACTCAGAGCTCGCTCCCTACACCAAGTTGTCATGGCTGTGGTCAGCAGCCAACCTCTGTCCCCTCCCGACACAGCCATGTCCCCAGCAGGAATGTTCCTCCCTCAGGAAGGGTGGGGGTTAGCGGACAGCTTTCCTGGTGGAAAGGGGCCGATGGCAGGGTGCGGCGTGCAGATGGAATCGGCCCCCAACGTCAGTGTGTATTTGCCCGGTGCTCCCTGCTCCCCTTTAGATCAGGTCCTGCCCACACCCCAGGTGGCCCTTGGGAAAGGACAAGCCAGGCATCCTGTCTGGAGTGACCCGTTGGCCTTCCCAGCCCACCCCTGCATAACTACAGGATATAAACACTGGTGGCTGTTCACAGAGGTGTAGACCATTCTCCGCCAGGCCTCCCTGGGCAGGATCGCTATCATCCAGCACAGAAGAGGAAGCGGGCCAGGAGGGGAAGTAGTCCGCCTGAGGCCAGGAGGTAATGAGCAGCTTGCTGGGGCTGCGTGCCAGGCATGTCTACCCACCCCAGAGGCCCCCGCTGCCCAGACAGGGAGCATGGAGGTCATGGGGCTCCCTCTGTTCGAGTGGATCAGTTGGGTCCCATCAGGGCCACATTCCACCGCTGCTCCCTGAGGAAACCTGAATTCCAAGCTGCAAACTGTGGGGTGGCCCTGGTTGCAGGCCTGCCTGGCACCCACTGGTCCTCCTGCCTCTCTGCAGCCTGGAGGTCAGAAGCACCCGGCTCTGCAGCTCCCCTCTGGGAGGGGCAGGCTGGCCACAGGGGGCTTGGCCTCCCAGGTCAGGTGGGGCCAGATCCCCAAGCTCAGGGCGGTGTGACTGGCGTCTCAAACAGTGTTCGCCAGAGGCAGACGGGATGGTGACAACAGTCCCCTGTGCCTCTAGAAAAGCCAGAGGACACTGGGAGGGGATTGGATTGGGGTGGCAGGCCTTGTGGATGGTGACAGAATCCAGGAGGGAGACGTAGGCCCTGTCAGCCAGCAGAGCCAGGACCCAATCAAGGGTCCCTTCAGCAGCTCCTGGAGATGGGCACCGTCCACTCACATACTCCCAGCGTTGGGGAGCTCACTCCTGAGAGACCGGCCCTCCCTCCACTTGGTCCCAGTGGTGCATTTCCTCCACTGCTCATCCCGGGCCCCACACAGCCAGGCTGCACCTCCCAGCCACGTGACTGCTGTGCCTCCCACACAAGGTGCTCACGGTGCCACCCTGGGGACAGGTTGTGGCGGTCCAGCAGGACGCCCACCCAGGAAGCCAAGGCTGCCTGTAGTAAATGCTCCAGAGTACCACTGTTCTTGGCACCTGTGCCAGGCTCTTCCTGGCATCCTGCGGGCAGCACCCAGGTCTGACCCGACTCTCACCTCCCTCCAGCCAGCACCATCGGCCGTACCTCTGCTAATGCAGCCCAGTGAGGGTTTACCTCACTGACCCTGCTGGCTCTTGGGGCCTTAAACCTGCCCTGGAACTGTAAGGTCTGTACCAGATAAATGCCGTCAACTTTCCTTCCCCCAAGCCCCGCCAAAGTTGCAGGCCCTGGCTTGGGTGTGTGTGTGTGTGTGTGACCTTGTTGTGATCTTCCTTCTCCGCCTCCCAAAGCATTGGGATTCACCATCCCTGGCTCCTTTGGCCTGTTAAAATAAAATCTGAACAGTCTGCTCATCCCAGCAACACTTCTTCTTGGCACCCTGGGTCTGTCCTGGACTTCAGAAGTGCCAGCTCTTGCCGGGGACAGGAGGTGATGAGAGGATGGGGCTGAGGACCGGCAGAAGGGGCTAAGAGGAAGGTCCCCGCTAGGACTGTCACCAGGGTGCAGCTGCCGCCTGGGCACTCAGCCCACTGCTCCCAGAAGCTGTGTCCTGTCACCTCAGCGTCCACTCCATGCTGCCCACCAGGTATCCTGGGCAAGGGAATCCTCAGCGTCTCCTCCCTCTGCCCTTGGGCAGGGGCTCAGGTCCCTTGGCGTCCCCCCTGCCGCTCCTCTGCTCCCCCTCTTCAGCCTGTCCCATGTCCAGTAGGGTGAGGGGGCCCCTGAGAGTGTGAAGAACGGGCTTGGGCTCCCACTGCTGGGGGAAGGCGATCAATTCTGCCTCCTCAAATCTGCTCGGGTGGGAGTGGGCGGTGGCACTGGGGTGGCAGAGGTGCCAGGTGTACTTGGAGGCTCCTTGCCCCCCTCGCTGAGGGCCGTATCAGCACTCTGATACCCGGCAGGGTGGGAGGGGCAGTGTACACAGGTACGGGGCCTCGGTTCCCCAGCAAGCACGGGCCAGCGGGTCCGAGTACAAGGCCTGGTGGCACAGATGGGTCCTGACAGCCCCACACCCAGGGCTGCTGGGCTCCCAGAGGCAGGATCCCCAGGTGTAGGCCTCTCCCATTTGATGCTGTGTGACCTCAGGCAGGCAGCTCAACTTCTCTGAACTGGTTTCATTGTCTGTCTACTGAGGGGACTAAGGATATTAACCCCATCACACTGTTGTGAGTGAAATAAAACAGTGCGTATAGAATGCGCAGTGCGCAGTAGATCTGTTCAAGCATAGCTCTCTGATGGTTGTCACAGCAATGGCCGAAGGTGTGGGACACTTCCAGCAGGAGGTGGACTGTGAGGAGGGTTCAGAGAGGGAGGAGTTAAGCTGTTGGGAGAGGGAGGGCTGAGGAGCAGATGGGAACAGAGGTGGCAGGAATAGACTGGGAGATGGGTACACCCGTCATGCCAGCGCTAGGGCAGGCTGAGGCAGGAGGATCCCAGAGTTGAGCCCAGCCTGGGCAACTTAGCAGGACCCTGTCTCAAAATAAAAAAGTAAAAGAGGGCTGGGGATATAGCTCAGTGCTGAGGCCCTGGGTTTGATCCCCAGAACTGGAAAATAATATGTAGCCCAAGCTGGGTGGGAAGGGTAGAGGCCGTGCCTGCTGTGAGCGGCAGGCAAGCAAGGGGTGCTGTAGACAGTGGGAAGGCCGGGATGGGCCAGGCAGTGATGGGGTCAGATGAGGCCGCCGCCTTGGTGGGTTTGCTTCCTCTTGAGCCAGTCATGGGGATGGACACAGAGACCCTCTGTGCTCCCTACCGATTCTGGCTCCCCAGGGCCTCGGCCTCCAGAACTGTGGGAGACAGGTTCATTGCACCCCCAGATTTGGGCTGCATTCTAGGGTGTTAGCAGGGGTGTGGGAAACTGAAGGAGGGATTAAGGGAGGCTGTGGGGTTTGAGGCCCAGCGCATGGAAGAAAGGTGACCCCCTGAAATGTCGAGGGGGGCAGATTCCAGCAGGAGGCTGGGCAATGGATGGGAGGTCATAGCAAGGCCCCAGCAGGTTTGGGGACAACAGCAGACAGCGCCCAGCCCAGGCAAGACTAAGCCATGAGGACCTCAGATCTAGTGCTTCAAGAGGGGTGTTATCAAAATGTACAGTGAACGTTAAATTGGATTACAGCAAGAGACACGTTGCCACAAATCCACCTCAAAATCCTTCCCCCTTGCTTGGGATGCACCGATCCCACCCTTCTGCCCACTTTGTGCAGCAGCTCTGCAGTGCTCTTCACGAGGTGCGATAAAAGATGCAGCGACTGCTGCTGTCCGGTGCTCTGCACCAGAAACGCAGGCTCCTAAGAACGTGACAGTGTGTCCTAATCAGTGTGTTCACCGGATCGGGCACTGTGTGACCTCCAGCTCTTCCCCAAAGTCAAAATGACCACGAAAGGGAGACGTTTTGAATC